TTTGAATTTCATAGACTTGTAAGAGTTCTTATGCAGTAATTACCAGATCTTGTCATAGTTACATTATAGGTGAATTTTGAGGTAGTGTAAGTTTGAGAGTAAAGGAGAATTAAAATACATTTGAAAAGAGGTCACCACAGTTTATTTGCATCTGTGTTTCCTGTCTGAAGTAACAGAATGAAACTATTTTGTAATGCACCTTCACATGGAAACAATTTAAGGTGAATCAGCAGTACTAGCAACATGCGGAATATCCTGTCCAAGGCATGCTAAACAAACTGCTAAATGGTCTTGGTTCTACATACTAATCTTACAGTTGAATTTTGATAATGCCCATGTGAAAAAGCATATGCAAATAAATAACCTAAACTTTCTCTTTCCAGTTTGGTGTTGGAATTCACTAATCATAGCAACTAATGTACAAACTAATACAAACATAAAAGATTAAAATCCGCTGTACAAATAATATGCGTTTGAATGTTATACTTTTTATCACTGTGAATTTGACATGCATTCACTGATGAAATATGGTCATCCCAGATGAAGGAAACAATAAAAATATTATAGCATCTTGCAACGTATCAATTAGGCTATAGGAAGCTTAGACAGTATTAAGAATGTTTGGAGGGAGTTATGTATTTTTATTTTAAATAATAGAGTTTCATTCTTTTCCCACTTCAGAAATCAAGAGAAATTAATTACATGAGAAAATGCAAATAGCTTTTAGGGGTCCTTACTTCATGCAAAAGACCAAAAATAACTTTTCTTTAGCTAAACTTGTTATTTGTACTTAAAAACCTGCAAAGAATGAAAGTAAATTTTGTGCCCCATAATAAAGGAAAAAAACTGCTTTGTAGTGTATAATGCTCCCATTTCTAGTCTTGCAATCATAAGATTTGAGCTTTAAATAGTGAGGCTCACCCTTATTTAAATATTCATATTCAATTTCAGTTTCAATCTGATATTCGTAATTTGAATCAGAAAGTTCAATATCAAGAATTACTGTCTATTTCTGTCCTTTGTTGTACAAAATGGTATGTGTACTTACACTCCTTATTTTCAGATTCTTCATCATTAGGGTTTGATAAAGACTTCACTCTTGCTCTTTCACTCCCTTGCTCTCTCCCTCTTTCCCTCCCTCCCTCCCTCTCATTCTTATTGCTATATTCTGCTGCTTCTGTCTTCTGAGGACCTTTCTTGACAATGTGACTGATAAGTCTTTTTACAAATACGCATTTATAAACAGAATATATCAGTCATTATTGGGATACTTGTTTCATATTTTGTTATTCTAAAACTGATGACATCTTTAGTTTCATTTTCCTCACTTTTGATTATAATTTTTTCCAGAAGAGTAATAGCTTAGCATGATCTTCCTTTTAAAATACCAAAAGATCTGGAGTTGCCTGTATTTTTGTAATCCTTGCTCTGTGGTTTTTTTTCTTGATCAGTGACTATAGAGTGTCTCCCTTTTCTTAGATAGATCTTTTTATGTATATAGAAATTTAGTTATTTTTTTACCTTTCTTAAACCTCAAGGTTATTTAATTCTTCAGTCTGGAAGAATTCCTAGGGCTCTGTTTCATAATTCTATTACTACTCCATCTGTTTTTTGCAAAAAACACTTCTTTGTTCTTTTCCTCTGTATATTAAATAATTTAAAAATACTAGCTCACATCTGAACAGTTCTGCATGTATTTACAAGCTTTTCTTATCACTTTTCTACAGCATTTCAAGCTAAACAGACCATTTTTGTACTATCTTATTAGGCTTTTCTGTAATGTTGATTCCTTCCCTCAAAACCAGCTGGTTTTCAATTTGAAGTATGAAGGCTTTCTTCCTCATAGCATGAGTGCAGAGTAGAAGTGCACAGTAGTTGTACTGCTATGCCATCTGCGTGATTTTGTTGAAATAAGTGTAGGGCGCTGATAAATCCCAGAAAATGTGAAGTGTTGTGCCACTTAAAGTAACAAGTCTTGTAACGTCTTTAGTATAATTTTTTCTCTTCTTTTGACCTCTAACAAATCTTTGTGAGTGACCTTTCTTATCACTTTAAATTCAAATTACTTTCAAAAATCAGCAAACTCATAGTAGGGCTTTTGATTTTTTTTTTAATTTTTTTTTTTTTTCAGAAATAACAGTTGATTGATGACTTTGATCAACCCATTTTAAGATTGTTAAGAAGTAAAATCTCATTAAAGATTTAAGTCACATTGATGTTGCAACACCAACTACTGTGGCCAAATAAGTAACCATTTCCAAAGAGTGATCTGTGTAATTCTTAAATGTTGGTGAATTTCTAGCTATGCAAATGCATGATGATAGCATTATTCCTTCACCAAAATACAGGCTCTTTCAGTGTACAGCCCTTACCCCTTGTCCTATCACTACATGCCTTTGTAAAAAGCCCCTCCCTGGCTTTCCTTCAGGCCACCTTTAGGTACTGGAAGGCAGCAGTAAGGTCTCCCTGGAGCCTTCTCTTCTCCAGGCTGAACAACCCCAACTCTCTCAGCCTGTCTTCACAGGAGAGGTGCTCCAGCCCTCTAATCATCTTGGTGGCCCTCCTCTGGGCTCGCTCCAACAGCTCCATGTCCTTCTTATGTTGGGGGCCCCAGAGCTGAACGCAGTACTGCAGGTGGGATCTCACCAGAACGGAGTAAAGAGGGAGAATCCCTTCCCTTGACCAGCTGGTCACCCTTCTTGTGATGCAGCCCAGGAGAGAGTTGGCTTTCTGGGCTGTAAGCACACATGGCTGGGTCATGTTGAGCTTCTTGTCAATCAACACCCCCAAGTCCTTCTCCACAGGGCTGCTCTCAATCCACTCATCGCTCAGCCTGTGTTTGTGCTTGGGATTGCCCTGACCCACGTGCAGGACCTTGCGCTTGGCCCTGTTGAACTTCATGACCTTGGCATGGGTCCACCTCTCCAGCCTGTCCAGGTCCCTCTGGACAGCATCCCTTCCCTCCAGCGTGTCAACCACACCACACAGCTCGGTGTTGTCAGCAAAATTGCTGAGGGTGCACTCAATCCCACTGTCCGTGTCACCGACAAAGATGTTAAACTTTATATACTTTCATAAGCATCAGTTAATATAATATGGTATAACTTTTTTCCTGTTACTTAGAGAAGCCAGGTTTGTTATAATTTGTGTTATGTGTTATGCACCTGTAAGTTAATACAAGAAGGTTCACAAAACTTAATTCCTAAACTACCCATTTTTCACAATAGTCTAAGTCAGTCAGTTATTTTAGGGTGGAAAAAATATAGACAAATTAAAGGTTTTCATGTAATGATTTTTAAAAGCCAAAAGTGCATACCGTCATTTAAATTGAACTGTGTGCACTATGTCTAATTGGTTGTGTCATATAAATGCATTTTAAATTATTCTTGGAACAAATGCTCTCATCTGCTAATAGAACACGCGTAACTGTTGTTGATGTGGAGTGCTACAGAGTCTTCTGTGCACATCCTGTAGGAGATGTTAATGTACAGTATCTTTTATAAACAGGCCTCTTTTTGTCTCCGTTAGAAGAAGGAGCTGACTCAAAGAATCTGATAGTCTTCCAAAGAAAACATCTGTTTTAAATATATTTGTTTGGATTCCAGTCAGCACACCTAGGACTTGCATAATTAGCTTAGACTACAGAGTTCCCTTTTCAGAAGATATGTTTATATAAATAAGCCATGCATTTTTCATTAAGCAAATACCCGTCTCTTTTTTTTTTTTTTTTTAATTAGAAATTCAGGCTTGTATTTTAACATATGCTTTTGCAAATCAAAGATTAATTGAGAATTTTTTTCAACACTTTTTCAACAAGTTTTCTATGATATTCATTTTACTGTATTTCATATTGTGGAGAAGTGTCTTGCAACCATCCTATCAGTATTTCAGTAAATGTGTGCATACTTTTATAAAGATGTTTTTGATACCAGTAATCGATCATTTACTAAATAAAATATGTATTTTGTAGCTTTTACTACTTTTGATACTGCATATTCTTTTAAATGTACATAGAAGACTTTTTAAAAATTAATTATGGTAGTAACTGTCATACGTTTACCATTCCCAAAGACCTGATTAACTAAAACTACATAAAATACAGTGTTTATTTCATCTTAAGCAGCTCCTTAGAAGAGACAAGAAGAAATGGAAGCACAGTTAGTGGTCCTGTCTCCATTCATCTCATGCCATGCCACACCACATGATTCCACTGAACCAGAATCTCTTATCATACAGCTGTGCAACATTAAAAGAATTCTTTTCTAAAACTGGATTAATGATTATGCATACCTTTTGTATTAAGATCAAACCTCTTGAATGTTCAGACATTGACAGTTGGGAATGAAATCTTTTACTTTGGGACAAATTCAGCCTGGAGCAACAATTTCATAATACATATTGCAGGTGTGCCTTATTACAGAAGGGCTGAAGCTGGTATTTCATGCATAAAAGTAGCTTCTAGGCCATTTTTTGCAGTTCATACAATCCAGATGAAACTGTTCTTAATCTGACCTGGTATTCTTTATATCATATCTGATTTCAGCTCAGTTCTAGACCTGTGGAAACAAGAGTTAGCCTGTGTTGAGTGTTTTCATCTGGGGCAACATCCGTTGATTCTGAATGATCTCGAAGCCCCGCTTAAGCTCTCACTGTGCAGAATGATGTCTTGTGTGAGAAGTGCAGTCGCATGTTTCGTTGGAATTTTTGCTTTCTCTTGCCATTTTCAGAAGTCCTCAAGCATAGACTGGGTGAAGAACGCTATCAATGATTCAATATGTTCTTTCTACCTGTGCACGTGATTGACTGAGAGAAGTTGGCTAAGTGTCCCCATCTCTGGTTGTGGGGAGTGTTTCAAAAAACTATTTTTGGAAAATATTTTTCAAAAGCAGTTGTATACAATAGTGCTAAGTAGTAAGGAGACAATAATGTTAGCTGTTGACTTCCTTTCAATTTAACTTAATTGGTAATAATACAGATTTTGTTTGTTTGATGTTCCATAGGTGTTTACTCTGTTATGGATCGCTGACTGGATGGTGCACCACTTCTGGAAAAAAGGAAAAGATCCTGACAGTTTTTCTATCCCTTATCTTACTGCACTGGGAGATCTGCTTGGAACTGCCTTATTAGCGATAGGTTTTCATTTTCTGTGGCTCATAGGTGACAGAGATGGCGATGTTGGAGACTAATTATTCCAATGGATGCAATGACTTTTCCTGGAATATTGACAAGACCAATCATTCCACTTGAAGGTCCTCAACGTGATCGTTCCGTTTGGTATAAGTAAATCAAGTTGACACAGTTATAAAACAACCTTAATGATTTTAGTTTGGTTTGTTTTTTAAAAAACAGGATGGAAATAGGAGGATACTTGAGACCTTTACTCTGAAACCGAGGTGGATTGCTGCTAGTTGAAAATATCTGAGTAGACACAATGAAGGGCAGATCAATCCTTTATCAAGTTTTACATTTTTAAAAGGTCTGGTCTTTTAAAAGAACAGTTCCTTACCTGCATTGCAAACAAGAACAATCTCTAATTGCTCATTCAGTGGTGATGAAGAAGAGGGTAAGACCCAGTCAGTGGCTTGCCTTGTCTTTCCCTCCCGGGAACAAAGTGGGTATATATTTTCATCTTACCACAGAAGGGGTTAGTAGACCTCAGATGAATTCAGTTTCATAGACATTAGTTGATCATATGTTCTTATCTTACAATTTCAGTGCTGTGGCTCTCTGATCATTGCAGACTTGATATCAATAATAACTGTTATGGTGATTTGAACCCTGATCGTCTAAACAATTTGTCACTTTATTTTATGTATACTAATATGACCATCAACATTTATAAAATTAGACACTTGAAAAGCACTTTGTGCTAAAAAGAGCAACCTAATTATTTTGCTGTTGTGATTTATTAGAATAAGAGCATAGTAAAGACAAATAATGTGACTCTGACCTGATCAATAATAATGGATGAATGATTAAAACTCCTTGTGTTGGAAAGTGTATTTTCATTTAGCAACTGAAAAGATATTTAACTAACTGATGTTAATGGTGTTGTGATGGCCAGTATCCTGATTTTAATGACGTATTTAGAGGTGTTGATTCAAGTGTAAATACTGATCCCTGATTAAAACTTGGGGTATAAAAGGTTATGTTTCTTTTTTAGGCACTTAGGAAGTTACATAAACTTCTAAAATTCCAGAGCTATCCATGTCATCCATTTCTAAGCAGAAATCTCTGCTAACAGGATTTCTGTTTTCAAACTGTGGAAGTAATATGGTCAGTAAGGAAAATGACTGCTTCTAAATAATTTCTTTTATTTGTATACCTCAGTATTTCAAATAATACATTGATCATGAGGACTCTGGTTGCCACTTTGAAAAAATGTGCTAATTGCTCTGTTTTAAAGTCTAGTGGGAGTTCCTCATGGCATATGTTTATAAAGACTATAGCATACATCCTAAATTCATAATTAAATAAACAATTCATATTTTAAATGTTGTGATTGAAAGTTTTAAATTTTGAGACTTAAATCAGACAGCTAAATCCATATATCAGCATATGTTATAGTCCTGTAAACATTAGTCATGTGATTTATACATATAAAACCTCCCTTTTAATTTGAATGGACCTACTCGGATGAATTGAATTATATGGATAAGTGTTAATGGGACTTCTATAGGTGTCGGTCACCTTAAACTCTGTGGAAGTTGGAAGTGTTTGCAATTCTGAAAATTAAACCAGCTATTCAGTGCCTACACATGGATTTAGATGCCTGACTTTCAGCTCCCTCATTTAAACACTTTTATTTAAGCTTTTTCTTACCGTTATGATAATATAGTTGTTTGAATGAATCATATGTATTATGTCTTTTATTATGTGAGAGAGATGAAATCTAACTTCAGGTTCTCTGACTTTTCTTAGTTTGTATTAATGTTATTTAAAATAGTTTCTTGTATGTAGCATTGTGGGAAATACTCCTATTAAATTGTTTAAAGTGGACTAGATGTAACTGATTTTTAAATTTTTTTTTCTTCAATAATGGTTATTTATTTTTGGTACAGATGTAGATGCAAATTCTTTTATTCTGTTAGAACTGCCATCTGAATCAACTAAGCTGCCATTTCAAGAACTTTTCTCATTAAAGTTTTAAGGTCCTTTTTAAATGAATTGCAAGATTCTTAAAAATTAAAATTTCTTGAGATACTTGTGATCTGTGCTTATCTGATGCATGAGGGTGCTATAGTATTTAGTCCTGACAGTATCCTTAGTGTGTTAAGTATTTTCCCAGTAAATAAGCAGCAACTGTTGATACAGTCTGCTGACAAATGGGTGAGTGTTTAGATCACAGAATTGGGGAAGAAACGTTAAATGGGACAAATTCAGTGAAATTTGAAAAAGGGAAATATGTTGACAGACTGGAATAATCTGGGCATGGAAACAGTAAGTGATGGAAAAGTGTAATGGGAAAATTTGGTACTTCAAGAGGGGGAAAGTTCATTGCATGGTTGAGAGAGAGCAAAATCCATGTTGTGGGAAAGAAAAAGGTGCAAACTTTTACACAGCATTCATTATGAGAGGCAGGAGCAAACAAAAGGAAGTTATTTGGAGAAAAGAATAAAAAGGCACAGCCAAACTTGTTTTTCAGGAAGGGAAGAAAAATTTAAGTCATGTTGAAAGCAGTTGGGGAAGAGGTGGAAAAAGAGATACTTTGGAGAATGGTGGAAGTGAGAGAAAAAAAAAAGAATGGTCTCAGTAAGATATTGTTAAAGAGAAGTTTGAGTGGGGTAAGAAGCATGACATTGATAAAGCAGAGAAAACCTTGACATCTGGAAGAGCAAGGAGTAAATAATCTATGATGTGGAAAGGGGTTTGATTCCTATGCGGAAGGGGCATTTTAAAAACTTACAGGGATTGCTAACTCTGCTACCTAGTGTGATGAAGGTAAAAAGCTCTTACCACCAAGTTTTGGGGGAATATTATTCCAGCCATGAGGATAATATGGGAGAAGGCACGAAAGAGTATTTGGATACCGGAGAACCTATCATCTGTTCAAAAGCTGTACTCCTTAAATCAATTTTAACTCTAGTCAAGTCAATCTCTCCACAGTATTCCACCAACCTGATTTTTTAAATGCATCCCCGTAACAGTCAATTACTTCACTGTATGTGCGGGTAAGAAATGTTACCAAAAATTCTATTAGTGACAAGTCGTGTGCTTTTTGTACGCTCAAAGCATATGATTGAAAGGGATGTCCTGAGATGTTACTCTGTCTCTTGTTATCAGAGCAGCCATATTTTATAATCTTGCAGATAAAATGATTGCTTTTTATATTAAAATTCATTAAGCGTTTTCCTCCCCTCCACCTGCTAGAAGATTCTTTCATACCTTCTTTTATAATTTCTAGCCTAATTAGATAATTCACATCTATTTGCTTTTGTGTCAGCATGTAGCGTTTTCTTTGTTTGACTCTTGCTCACATCAGCTCATTCACCTTATTTAAGCTGCAGGTCATCGTAAAGCTCCTCCTGCAACTTCTTGTACCATTTTCATTCTCCTGATGAGCTAGACCAGCCAGAAACTCCAGTTGCTTTGCCTTTATGAGTTACTATCTGTAACCTGATGCTGAGTAACTGCTGGAGTGCTCTTGTTTGGCCATTCTTACTGCCTACTCTTCTTTTCTCTATTTCAGAAATATCTCTAGGGTTAAATATATGTAGGGGCAGGTTATTTGAAATCTGTATCATTTGCCATTCTGAAGGATTTTGTGACCATCTCAGTTGTTCTGTGAACATGCATGAAAGGGGACAGTCTCATTTGTTAAACTACAACCAAATGCAGCTTTGAAATTTGGAGTCAGAAGCATTTCATACCATAGGTGGTTTATTTTATTTTTTCTGTGTAATGCTTTGAAATGATGTTTGCATTCTAGTGAGTTCCTGAATGACTCCAGCTTATTTTTAGAGTGATTATGTAGTCAGGATAGCTCCACAGCTTTATTATGCTGTTTGATACAGGGGAGGATTCTTTTTTTTAATGTATTTAGATCAATATTTTGAGTTTTATAGCATCATTGTACATCTTGCCTTAATCTGTGATGTTTAAATTTACAATATCCTCTTCCACTCCCGTGTTTAATATATTAATTTCACAGGGGCTTTTAGAATGCTGATGAGAAACTGGTGAGCAGCAAATTAATTTCATTGCTTTCTACAATTTGCCAACTAAATTAAACTTTTCTCATACAGAGATTAAAACAGCATGGAGATTACGGCTTTATAAATGCAAAATAGTTTGCAGAATCAGGACTCAAAATAAGACCTATCATCTTTTTAATGGATTTGCTATTTCACTTCAATTCTGAGCATCACGAAAAGCTCTCTTAAATCCAAGAATAACCCAGAATACACATCAGGAAACAGTAGTATAAGCACTCTGTGAAATGAAGTGTTTGAAATTCATTATTATTATTATAATAGTAAAATTGCTATTGCAAAGGAGATAGTCTCTTTAGAGGTGCAGAAAACGGCAATAGAATATGGTAATTGAATTATAACCTGCTGTAAAAAGAGTAAGACGATGTTCGAAAACAGTACCGAAGGTACTGGAAGCAATGTGAAGTCTCTTAGGAGGATTTTTCTTTTTATTTTTGGCTAGGCTTTCTGTGATACAATACATGGTATTAATTGTGTTCTCTAATCCATTCCTAATCAAGTCAGTCTGTTGATCAGTTATCTTTTGGATTATCATTTTCCTATACGTACTCAAAGTTAAAAAATCAGCTTTCTATATAAAAAGGTGGTGGGGAAGAACTAGTAAAGAGGTGTGTTTTGTCATTAAAGGACAAAGTCATAAAGGAAAGTCTTTCTGTTAAATTCAATGAAAATTTTATTGTCAGGCTGTGCATGGACACTCTAGGGAATCTAGTATTAACAAAACATGAATAATTCACAATTAAAGCTAAGAACCAACACATTTAGTAAATATATGAGATATTGCCATATTCTGGGTGGGTACCCAAGAGCAGCAGTGTACCCCTTAGTCATTCAGCATTGGCAGGGCTGGATGGGCTTTACTTTCTCTGCAGTTAAAAATTTAATTTTATTTCAAGTCCTGCTAGTTGTTTATTTAATATACAGGATAGTTCATCATATGGTCTATGTATGCTTTTATTTCTCAGTTCAAACTATACTTGAAATTTGCTTCTTCCTTTACTTGGCATTCTTCAACTTGCTCCTTTGGGAGATTGTTTCCTCTTCAAGAGCTGCTAAAAGTCTTGAGAGGTCAAGGAAGTGCTTTCCTTGAATAATTTTAAATCTGCTTTTTGCAAGTGAGATAGGGTCCTGAATGAATTATATGGTTGACAACTTTGGGAATAATTGACTTCTGAATAGTTCCTTGAGATTTAATATTTCTAAGTTCTCAGATTTACATTCTAAGTTTTACTGTGAACAGGATCTAAAAAGGATTTTGCCTGTTTACTAATTTTTTCTGTCCTCTCCTGGTTTTAATTAATGAAGTTGTTGCCATGTCCTGTCTACAGTAGAACAGCCTTTTAATAAATTTGACATTCTAAATGGCTTTCCAAAAATTACGAGCAATAATACTTGTTTTATACTTGAGAAGCAATCATCCACTACTTTCCTGTGAATCTTCATACTACGGTTAGCTTTAAATCATCCAAAGCCCTTTTTTTTCCTGTTTGTTTTTGAAGCAG